ATGGGCGAGATATAAGGGTCTCATATGAACAAAGATGACAACTTTGATATTACCAAGTTTTGATTTAGGTAATTTTTAGATGATTGGAAGGTGTCAAAGAATTCACCGGCGATAATTAGTGCAAGTTGCATCCAGGTCAAATCTCATACTTGCGATTTCCATTAGAAGAGCGCATTGGATTGTGGGAAAATCAATGTTTATCAACACTAATGTCGCATATGCGCAGTGCGACAACTGCACCCGTTAATATTTTGGAATATATCTCTGGTAGAATAGAAAGATGTGTAAATCATGATAATTGTGTTTTTTGTTTATTTTTTTAATTATTTATAAATATTTTTCAGCAATACAATGCATCCAATGACTATGGACCAGAATTCAGTGCCACATCATATCCTATGAACACTGCAGAGAATGACTATAGTGGTGCTGATATCGATGTGACAGTTGGCTGGGTATATGCAACTGACTTTGATGGCCAAGTTGTTGGATATGATATACTATATGGTAACAAAAACAACCAATTCAATATATCGATGGTAAGTTAAGATTTATCTTGCTTGCCCTGTTCATTATAGGGAAAGTTGCATATCAATTGATGCATTAATCCAGAACAATTGTCAGTCCTTAGTTTCATTAGCTTATTTTTAATATGTTTCTTGCATTAGAATGGCAGTATTACAACAGCAGGAGAGATAGATCGAGAGACTCAACCTCTTCACAAGTTATATGTCATTGCTGTGGATGATGGGATACCTCCTAGAACTGTAAGTCATGCAACTACCTAGACATTATGGGGTTATTACGAGGATACCTCAAAGTATGCATGAAGACAGTACAGCAGGAGTATCGACCAACGCGCAGCAGAGGTTGTTGCGACAGTGTACTGTCTGAGTGCATACTTTCAGATATCCTCGTAATAACCTTATTATTATACATCTTTTCCTTCCAAGGATACATCATGGGAATATCAAAATTCAAAATGTTTAGAACAGAAATTTGCATTTTCTAATATGGTAGGATGAAAATACCCCATGAAATACCGCAAAATTACGGCACGCTGTAACTTTTGGTGTTACGGTGACAGATGTATAATAGTATATTATATTCACTGTTAGCAGCTGATTATTACATGCCTTATAGGTATGCTAGGTAATATTTGGTTAAAATAATAATTTATTTGAAGAAAGGAAACTATATAGTTGTGACAATTTTACTGGCTATCAGACTTTAGACTAGGGATTCACAGACTAACTGTGATTTTTATAACTCAAGCTGCAGACAATTCCTGTCTGAAAATTCAACTGCATGTCTACAATTCATGTACAACATGTAGTGTGTTTGCTTTCAAAATCTGCATGAGTGAAATCAAATGTAAAAACATGACACACAAGGGTCATAGCGTTGTCAAAACATTGTGTGGGATTTGACAAATGTGAAACTATATTTAGGATATTTCCACACTTAATAATCATTTGATTATGGTCAGTGTTGATGAGGTATTGATAATTAATTCCTCTCTGAGAGAATTTTGATATATTGAACTATAAAAAAGGAAAATTCAGGTTCAAAATCAAATCATTTGATTTTTGTGGCAGACGATTGACGCCACTAATGCATTACGCGAGATCTCTCAGTGAACGGAATTCACTCATCTCTGTAATAAACTGCCACCAAGATCTCATTGAGAGTGTGTGTGAAATAAAGACACTAGATTTGTTTTTGATGATTATATTGTTATGGAGAAAATTGAACATTATTTGATGGGCAAAAACTCACTCATGGCTCTGTAATGAAAAAAATACGGTTATCATGAGAATGCATTTTCCTTGTAATAACCTTATTATTATACTTTTTTTTAGCTCCACTGTCGACTTTGTCGAGCGGAGCTTATCATATGAATGATTGTTCGTTGTCGTCTGTCGTCTTTCATTCGTCGTTTGTGTCAATGTTTTACTTTTTCGACTTCTTCTTGAAAACTATGAGCCTGAATGCTTTGATACTTGGTGTATATGTACCTTGGGTAGACCTCTCTCAGATTTGTTCATTTCATGATCATATCTTCAATTCTCTAATTTTGGTGAATATTTTTGTCATTTTTGGTAAAAAGTGATATTTTTGACTGGTTAAAAACCACAATCATTTATGGTGAAAAATGATATTTTTGAATTCTTGTTGAAAACAGCAAGTCCCATAGCATTGATACTATGCATATTGTTCATTTTCTAATGATATCTTCTGTTCTTTAATTGAAATGTGCATTGCTAACAGCGGAGCTATCTCAGCCGAGAGGCTGCTTGTTCCTGCTTGCAGTAATAATTTAATGAAAGATAGCTTGAAATGGCAATGAAAGAATTTTGCTCTGTGTGAACATTTGCTTTCAGTGACATGATTCCTATTCCCGTCATACAATATAGCATGTATTTCTGCATCAAATGTAAACAAAAGAAATTCAAATCAGCTTTCAATAAGCAAAATTTGAATTTTCGAACAAATGCTGGTATATTTTGGAACAAGTTTTCAGTGCGAGATGTATAATGATACATTTGTAATCTTTTGTTTCTGCTTATGAATGCATGCAGTCCAATTACATATATTACTTATTCCAGTATCAAAGTAAATATTGTATTTTTTTTTTTTTTTCTCTTTTAGGGGTTGACACAAGTTGTGGTGGAAGTTGATGATGTAAATGATAATATTCCCAAGTTTGTGCAAAGTACATATAATGTGACAGTTAGAGAAGGAACACGTGGGGTTATTGTCAATGTCACGGTATGTTAAAACTGGTTGGTTGCTTTTAAATAATTTTGGCAGAAAAAGAATGTTTTAGAAATGAATTTGTTGCTAAATAAAACTATAACTGCATTGTATTGAAGGCTTTGAAAGAACTTTTTAAAGGTCCTTTTTTAATTGTACTGTAATGTTATAATATAATTACACAGCTAGGTATTTTTTTTCTGAAAGCTTTCTGCATATAAATTAATCTCTTAGGTTGAAGGCTACTCATACTAGGATACCAGGATTTTTGCGTTTTGCAATAAATAATATCAGGAAGTTGTGGATCGCCAACCTTTTGATTGACCACACCTGTCGTCTTCCATTCGTCATACGGTGTACATCGTCCGTCAACTTTTTCATTCAAACAAATTCTTTTCCAAAACTGTCAACTTGTTTGCCTTGCTATTCATATCACGCCTAACTGGGATTGTCCTCTCTCAGATTTGTTAATTTCATCACATCACATGTAAACCTCTAGTTTTTAGGAATATTTTTGTCATTTATGGTTGAAAATGATTTTTTCCACAACCGCTTGTCAGATTGCTTTGATATTTGGTATGAATTTTGTTGACATCGAATACATTAAGACTTTCCATGGCACCATATGCAAATGTTTATTTTTAGTGCATCTTCAACATTTTTTGTTGGCACATTTTCACATTTCTATGAAATTCATAATGTAGACACATGGACTGGTTCTCGCTCAAGTTTGGTCATTTGATGAGGATATCTTCATTCTCGTGGAATTTATGATTTTTTTGTTATTATTTTTGTGGATTTTTTCACATTCTGATACGTTATACGTCCCATATAAAGGGGCTATGTATACTGTATGGACTTCAGTAGACAACTGTATCAGTAGGAAGCTAGGATTTCT